TTCTCTTTTTCCTGATGTATACCTAGGAGTGGAATTGTTGGATCATGTGGTAGTTCTATTTTTGTTTTTTGAGGAACCCCCATACTATTTTTTTGCAATGACTGAATCAATTTTCAATCCCACCAACAGTGTTCAAGGGTTTCCTTTTCTCCATATCCTTACCAAAATTTGTTACTTGTGGTCCGTTTGAAGATAGTCATTCTAACCAGTGTGAGGTGATAACGCATTGTGGTTTTGATTTATATTCCTGATAATTAGCAATGTTGAACATCTTTTTATGTTCCTGTTGGCCATCTGATGTCTTCTTGGAAAATTGTCTATTCATGTTTCCTGCTCATTTTTTGATTGGGTTGTTTGTTTATTGTTGAGTTGCATGAGCTGTTTATATATTTTGGATATTAACTCTTTACCAGTCATATCACTTGCAAATACTTTTCCCATTCAGTAGGTTATCCTTTCATTCTGCTGATAATTTCCTTCACTGTGCAAAAACTTTTAAGCTTAATCAAGTCCCATTTATTTTTGGTTTTGTTTCCTTTGCTGAAGGAAACAAAAAATCCAAAAAAATATTGCTATGATTTATGTCAAAGAGTGTTCTACCTAAGAGTGTTCTCTTCTTGTAGGGAAACAGAGCAGGGCCCTATGGCCTTTGACCTTCCCCTCCCCCTCCCCTCCCCTGTCCTCTGCCTGCCTTTAGTCTGTGGAAAATTTTAGGCAAAGAATAAGTTTAATCAGAGAAGTGAGAAATGCAGAAACAAAGGAAAGCAGTCAAAGGAGACCAAAAAATAATAACGTCGTCACTGAGCATAGTCAAGGACCTTTGGTTCCTTCTCAAGGGCTATAGATAATATTCTGAGCCAGATGCTGGGAGCTGTCCTATAGATACCGAAACACCAGCAAGAAGTTAACTACATAATGACCAGACTGTATCTATGACACAAGCTGCCACAATTCCGAGAACTGGCCTCAAAGAAATGGGAAAAAGCAGACCCTGGAACGGAAGGTTAACTGTACCTGAAACAACCAAGATGATGCTGGTCAGACCACTGATGAGCAATTTGCAGATGACTGTTAGAGCTGACGGTGCTGCTCCTGCGTGTGGCCCTCTCCTTTGCCAATGAAAGCTCTTGCCCCACTGGTTGCCAGTGAGGAGTTGGGGGAGAGTTGGCCTTTGGACAGATGCTCACCTTCACTTCCCGTGCCCCTACTTTATTCTGAAATAAAGCAAACTTTCCTTTCCACCAACCTGGCCTGTTTATATTGGCTTTTGAGCAGCAACCAGCCAGACCACACACATTCTTTCAGAAATGGTAGTTTTATGGTTTCCAGTCTTATATTTAGGTCTTTAATCCATTTTGAGTTTATTTTTGTATATGATGTGAGAAAATGTTCTAATTTCATTCTTTTGCATGTAGTTGTCCAGTTTCCCTTGTACCACTTACTGAAGAGACAATCTTTTCTCCATCCTTGCCTCCTTTGTCATAGATTAAATTGAATGATAGATTAAATTGAATGTAAGTGTATTGGTTTATTTCTGAGCTCTCAGTTCTGTTTCATTGATCTTTGTGTCTGCTTTTGACCAGTGACATATTGTTTTGATTATTGTAGTGATGTAGTATCATCTGAAGACAGGGAGTGTGATTCCTTCAACTCTGTTCTTTCTCAAGATTCCTCTGGTTATTCAGAGACTTAATTTTTTTTCCATATAATTTTAAAAATATTTGTTCTAGTTCTGTCAAAATTGCCATTGGTATTTTCATAGGCATTGCCTTGAATCTGCATATTGTCTTGGGTAACATGGTCATTTTAACAATATTAATTTTTCCAATTAATCATTAATAACATGGTATCTTTGCATCTGTTTGTATTGTCTTCGATGTCTTTCATCAGTGTCTTACAGTTTTCCAAATACAGATCTTCTACTTTCTTAGGTATGGTTTATTCCTAGGAATCGTATTCTTTCTGATGCAATTATAAGTGGAATTGCTTCCTTAATTTCTTTCTAATAGTTCATTCTTAGTGTATAGAAATGCAACAGATTTCTGTATATTACTTTTGTATCCTGCAACTTTACTGAATTCAATGATGAGCTCTAGTAATTTGTGTGTGTGTGTATATGTGTGTGTGTGTATTATAGATTTTTGGTTTGTGGTTACTCTGAGGTTTATAATAGCAATCTATCTATATATTATATTTTAAGTTGCTGATCTCTTAGTTTCAAGCACATTTTAGCAACCCTCCATTTTTATTCTCTTCCCCTCATGATTACTGATCATAATATCACATTTTACATCTAATTGTTTTATTTATGCCTTAAACTGCTTATTATGGATATGGATGATTTTACTACTTCTGTCTTTTAACCTTCTTACTACCTTAGTACAGGCTTCCCTGGTGGCTTGGTGGTCAAGAATCCACCTGCCAATGCAAGAGACATGGGTTCAATCCCTGGGTTGGGAAGATCACTTGGAGAAGGAAATGGCAACCCACTCCAGTATTCTTGCCTGGGAAATCCCATAGACAGAGGAGGCTGGTGGGCTACAATCTATGGCACTGCAAAAGAGTCAGACACAATTTAGTGACTAAACGACAATAACTTTCTTTGTACATGGTTAATTTACTACCTTTGCTGTATATTTGTCTTTACTGATAAGCCTTTTCCTTTCAGTTTTCATGTTTCTAATTATGGCCTTTTCGCTTACAGATGTCCCTTTAACATTTCTTGTAAAGCTGGTTTGGTGGCATTAAACTCTTTTAGCTTTTGCTTGTCTGTAAAACTTGATCTCTGTATCAAATCCAAATGAAAGACTGTCAGGTAGAGTGATTCTTGGTTGTAGATTTTACCCTTTCATTATTTTAAATATATTACTCCACTCACTTCTGGCCTGTGGAGTTTCTGCTGAGAAGTCTACTGAAAGCCTATGGCAATTCCCTTATATATAACTTTTTGCTTTGTCAATGCTGCTTTTAATATTCTCTTTAATTTTTGCCATTTTAATTACAATGTGTTATGATGTGGTTCTCTTTGGGCTGATCCTGTTTGAGACAGGATCTGTGATTCCTGGACTCAGATGTCCATTTCCCTTCCCGGGTTAGGGAAATTTTCAGCTATTATGTCTTCAGATACGTTATTTGACGTACTTCCTGGGTGGCACTAGTGGTAACAAACCCACCTGCCAGTGCAAGAGACACAGGTTCGATCCCTGGGTCAGGAAGTTCCCCTGGAGAAGGAAATGCCAACCCACTCCAGTATTCTTGCTTGGAGAATCCCATGGACAGAGGAATCTGGCGGGCTACAATCCCTGGGGTCACAACGAGTCAGATACGACGGAGCAACTGAACACACATGTTCTCTGCCCTTTTCTTTCTCTCTTCTCCTTCTGGGACCTGTTTAATGCACATGTGATTATGCTTGATGTTGTTCCAGAGGTCTCTTAAACTCTCCTCTTTTCTCTTTATTCCTTTTTTTCTGTTCATCTTCAGTGATTTCCACCACTGTCTTCTGGCTGGCTGATTCATTCCTGTGCATTATTTAGTCTATGGTTGCTTCCTTCTAGTCTAGTTTTCATTTCAGCTATTGTATTCTTTATCTCTGGTTGTTCTTTATATTTTCTCTTTGTTAAAATTTCTAACTTCTCCCTCTGTTTGTCCCTTCTTCTCCTAAGTTCTTTGATCATCTTTACAATCGTGACCTTGAACTATTTCTTGAGTAGATCGGCTGTCTCCACTTCATTTTGTTCTTCTTCTGAAATTTTATCTTTTTCCTTCATTTGGAATATGTTCCATTGTCACCTCGTTTTGTCTACCTTGCTGTTCTTATCTCTGCGTATCTGGTAAGCTGGTTATGTTTCCTGACCTTGAAGAAGTGGCCTTTTGTAGATGTCCCATGAGTCCCGACAGCACATCCCCTCTGGTCACTAGAGCCATATTCTGCAGGGATTTCCCCGATGTGGGCTGCTTGGACCCTTCTGTTGCGGTAGGGCAACTACTAGTAGTCAGTAGTAGTGGTAGTCTAGTAGGCTTAGTTGGCTCCTGGCCTGTTGATTTCCAGGCCCTCTCTTGTGTAGAGGCTGACAGTCACTTCTTGGTGGGGCCCAGGCATAGGGCAGAGTCAAGTGTCAGGCTGGCTGCAGAACCCTGGGGGACCCTGGTGTTAATGCTGGCTCACTGGTGGGCAAAGTTGGGGTGCAGGAGATCCCCAGGCTGGTGCTCACCCACCAGTGGGTGAATTCGGGTCCTAGGGCTAGTGGTTGCCCACAAGTAGACAGAGCTGGGTCCTAGGCTCTGGCTACAGGGTCCAAGAGTTCCAGAACTGGTGACTGCTGGTGGGTGGGACTGAATTCTGACACAGCTGGCTGTGGGGTCCTGGGTATCCTGAAGCTTGTGTTGCTATGCTGGTGGCAGGGCCTGAGCCTGGTCAGTCCCAGGGCCGATGTTGGCCCGCTGGTGGGCAAGGCTGGTGCTGAGTTTAGAGCCAGCTCTCTGGTGGGTGGGGCTGGGGCCCAGCCGGTCTGAGGTCTGGTGCTGGCCTGCTGGTGAGTGGGCTGGACCCACAGGCCCAGGGCTGAGGTTTTCCGGGGGCTTGTGTTAACCCACTGATGGGTGAGACAGGCCTAGAGCAGGCTTACTGGAGGGAGGGGCCGAGGATTCTGAGGCTATTACCTGCCCACTGTGGGGTGGAGCTGGGTTCCAGGGTCTCTGGCTATAGGACTCTGGGGGTCCCAGACTTGGCGCCTGCTCACTGGTGTGCAGGGTTGGGTCCTAGGCCCTCTGGTGGGCAGGGCCATGTTCAGAGAAGGCCATGTGCTCAGGCAGTCTTAAGGCAGCCTGTCTGATTGTAAGTGGGGCTGTGTCCCTGCCAAGTTAGTTGCTTGGCCTGAGATGTCCCAGTACTGCTGCCTATGGGCTGGTGGGCGTGGATGGGGCTGGATCCTAAGACTAATAGGCTGGAGGGAAGATTCCAAAATGGTGCTTGCCAGCAGCAGTGCCCATGTGGTAGAATGGACTCCCCCCAGAATGGCTGCTACCGGCGTCTGTGTCCCCAGGATGAGCTGCAGTTGCCTCCTGCATCTCTGGGAGACTCTCCAAGATCAGCAGGTAGCTCTGCCTCAGGCTACTGTCAAACGGCAGCTTCTGCTCTGATCCTGGAGCAGGTGAGATTTTTGTGTGCACCCTTTAAAAGTGGAGACTCTATTTCCCACAGCTCTCTGGGACTCCCAAAAGTAAGCCCCATAGGCCTTCAAAGACAAATGTTCTGGGGTCTCATCTTCCTGGCCCAGGACCGCTGGCCTGGGGAGGCTGATGTGGGGCTCAGACCCTTCCCGCCTTGGGGAGAAGCTCTGTAATTGTAACTGTTCTCCTGTTTGTGGGTTGCCCACCTGGGTGTATGGCTCTTGACTGTACTGTGACTCCTCCCTTCCTGTCTTGTGGTTCCTTCTTTATATATTTAGTTGGAGAAGATCTCTTTTTGGTAAGTTCCAATCTTTTTCACTGATAGGTGTCCTGTAAATAGTTATAATTCTGGTGTTCCTGGGAGAGGAGGTGAGCATGAGGTCTTTTTAGTCTGCCATCTTGCTGTGCTATTCACTGCGGCTCTTTTCTTGTTTGCTGATGTGAAGTAGCTGCTCGGCTAGTGTTCAGGTCTTTTTGCAGAGGAAATTGTCTAATATGTACCTAAAGATTCATTGTGTCTGTGGGAAGAGGTGAATTCAGGATCTCCCTAAGTCACCATCTTGGATGAATTCCTTCCTCCCTTACTTTTACTCTAATCTTAGTTTTGGTCTCTATCTCCCACTGCAGGGAAGGCGGCTAACTGAATGGTCTGCTTCATTTCAGTTCTACCTGGGGCTTCCCTGGTGGCTCAGATGGTAAAGTATCTTCCTGCAATGCAGGAGGTCTGAGTTTGATCCCTGGGTCAGGAAGATCCCCTGGAGAAGGGAATGGCAACCCACTCCAGTGTGCTTGCCTGGAGAATCCCATGACAGAGAAGCCTGGTGAGCTACAGTCCACGGGGTCCCAAAGATTGGACACGGACTGAGTGGCTACCACTTTCACTTTCAATCTGACCTAAGAAGAGATTTTTCCTCGTCTAAGAAAGGATTTTTTCCAGCGAGAGACTAAACTCTGTAAATCACCTATAAAGTAGCACTGAGGTGACTTTACTACTCAGCTGATGACTGGGAAGCAACTGAGCCTGGATTCTGCCTCCTGTTGAAAACCCACTCACTTTTCCCAGTCTCACAATAGGACAAGCCCCTATCCCATCTTCTGGGTGTATAGAATAGAAATCTACAGCTCCTCCAGAAAGAAACAGATAGCCCAGGGCATTTTGAAAATCCACTGGGAAGTCCTGTATTTCATTTGGTAGCTCTGTACATAGGCCTTTGGTGATGTGGTCTGACCTGAGCTAGGACTCGGGGTCAACAGCAAAGGGCAGCAGGAGGATACCCACAGGAGGACTCCTGAGAACAAAGGGCCATGGTGAGGAGGGCAGGGAGGGCCAGAACTACTCGCTATTGCCCCCTTCTGGGTCCAAGCGATGTCCCCTACTCTTAAGACCTAAGCCACGGGCTATGGGGAGATAGAAACTGGGGGTAATGAGAGAGGAAGTTATTAAGCACAGTGGTGCCTTGTTGACTTGTATATGCAATAGGGGTCTTGGGTAACCACAGGGCTCAGGGTATTTGCAAGAATAGTTCAAGTGCTCACTTAATTTGGGCTGTTTACAGGGAAGTGGTTTCCACAGCGAGAGGAGGTGAGATAATGGTGTCATCCTGGAACCACACTTAAGTTTGTTCCTTCTCATTAGAAGCCCTGCAGTCATAGTTTCCCCCAGCAGAAACTTTTGTTATTCCACAGCTGTTCTCACACGTAGATGTGGCATTTGCAGTGAAGCCATGAGTCTTGAGCAGCACACCTCACTTTAAGCCACATCCAGGTAGACAGAGTTGTATGATCCAAAACTGGGCTCCAGGAATGATGGACCTGCAGAGGGTGGGATGCCTTTTAGACACCCACTAGTTCAAGAGAGGTTTATCGAGGGCCTCAATACACACAAAGCAAAGACATGTTATGTATGTGTGTATGTTCAGTCACTCAGTCATGTCTGACTTTCTGTGGCCCCACGGACTGTAGCCTGCCAGGCTCCTCTGCCCATGGAACTTTTTGGGCAAGAATACTGGAGTGGGTTGTCATTTCCTACTCCAGGGGATCTTCCTGACCCAGGGATCCAACCCGCTTCTCTTGCATCTCCTGCATCGGCAGGTGAATTTCTTTACCACTAGCATCATCTGGGACTGGTGCTAACATACATAAGGGACCTTAAAATGATCTTAACCTTTGACCAAGATAATCCATGTCAAGGAATAAATTTCCTATGTAAACACATTTAATTTTTTAAATTTACCAAGGCTGGATTTGTACCCCAGGATGTGATCTATCCTGGAGAATGTTCCATGTGCACTTGAGAAAAAGGTGAAATCCAATATTTGGGGTGAAAAGCCCTGTAGATATCAATTAGGTCCAACTGGTCCATTGTAACATTTAAAGCTTGTGTTTCCTTGTTAATTTTTTGTTTGGTTGATCTATCCATAGGTGTGAGTGGGGTTTTAAAGTCCCCAACTATTATTGTGTTACCGTTAATTTCTCTTTTGATTCATGTTGATGGATGGCAAAAACCATCACAATATTGTAAAGTAATTGTCCTCCAATTAAAATAAATAAGTTAATTTAAAAATAAAAAATACATTTAAATATGGAAAAAGGTTTATGCATAAGAATATTTTGTCCCCATTAAAATCAGACCTAGTCAGAAAGAGAAAAATATCATCCATTAATGCATATATATGGAATCTAGAAAAATGGTACTGATGAACCTATTTGCAGGGCAGGAATACAGACACAGAGGTAGAGAATGGGCTTGTGGACATAGCAGAGAAAGGGGAGGGTGGGACGAATTGAGAGAATAGCATTGACATAAATGCACTCCCATGTGTAAAACAGATAGCTAGTGAGAAGCTGCTGAATAGTACAAGGAGCTCAGCCTAGTGCTCTGTGATGTCCTGAGGGCTGAGATGGGGGTGGGGTAGGAAGGAGTTTGAAGAGGGCTGGGATATATGTATACTTATGGCTGATTCACATTGTCGTAAGGCAGAAACCAATGCAACACTTGGTTTGCATTGCAAAGGAATTATCCACCAATTAAAAATTATTTTAAAAAAAAGTTTGAAAGGAGAAAAATAAAAATAAAATTAGACCTAATTTAAATTGTTTACAATATAAAAATGGTAAAGAAAATTACGGTGTCTTCACTTGGTTTGCTATTAGGCAACCTTTTCAAACAATATGATGACATGGGAAATACTCACATTCTAATGATAAGCTTAAAAAAAAAACCCAAGATGCAAATTGACTTATTTTAATCAGAACCCATCTTGTGCCTGGGGAGGTGGTCAGTTGCATTTAATATTTTTTGGGGAAGCTGTTCCCAGGAAAGAGGGAGAATAGAAACTGAGTATAATGCGTCTCCTGTCATCTATCCCTCGGTCAATTTAACAGTAAAGGATTCTTCTCTCTTCCTCAATATGGGCAGTTTCAGTAATGATGATTCACTATTCTGAGAGTTCTCTTGTTTTCCAACTTCCCCCATCTTCTGCTTTTACAGAGCAGGGTGGGTAGTGTTTGTGGCAGGACCAGTTATAACTCTCTTAGCGTGTTCTGGAATGAACACTAGGCCTATTTTGGGGTTATGACTTGGCCACCATGAAGAGCTTAATGTCTCAGATTTGGGCAATAGTCATTTACAGAGCAACTGGAAATACACAAATCAGCATCTTCTTAAGACTAACAGTTTCTAATTTAGACAGCAAAGGGGACAAATATTTATCACACCTTAAGTGTTAGTGTTGTTATCTCAAGAAAGAGAAAAAAAAAAAAGACAGGAAAAAGACATGTTTTTCCTGACCACCATCTACTCTACATCCTTCTTGATACCGGAAACACACAATTCCTTTGGGAAGCCACTCTACCCCAAAGTTCTCAGATTTTAAGTTTATGTGAAATTCATCCAGCCACAATCCAGTGTATGGTTTTTCCAGTAGTCATGTATGGATATGAGAGTTGGACCATAAAGAAGGCTGAGCACTGAAGAATTAATGCTCGCGAATTGTGGTCCTGGAGAAGACTCTTGAGAGTCCCTTGGACTGCAAGGAGATCCAATCAGTCCATCCTAAAGGAAATCAGTCCTGAATATTCATTGGAAGGACCGATGCTGAAGCTGAAGCTCCAGTACTTTGACCACCTGATGTGAAGATCCAACTCGTTAGAAAAGACCCTGATGTTGGGAAAGATTGAGGACAGGAGGAGAAGCAGACAACAAAGGATGAGATGGTTGAATGGCATCATCGACTCAATGGACATGAGTTTGAGCAAACTCCTAGAGATAGTGAAGGACAGGGAAGCCTGGCGTGCTGCAGTCCTTGGGATCTGCGAAGAGTTGGACGTGAGTTAGTGACTGAACAACAACCTTAATTAGCTTAAGCAGATCAATGAAGCCCATCCCCTCAGCCACAGCAGCTGGTTAGGAGTTGGATTTCCGACATGTCAGTCAAATCTGAGAGAACCGAGTGATTTTTTTTCCAGTGAAGACACAGCCTCTTTCTTCCCTGAAGAAAATGAACAAGATTTCATGTAGCATGATGACCTAGAGAGGTGGGATGTGGGGTGGGTTGGAGGGAGGCTTAGGAGGGAGGGATATATGTATGTGCTGTGCTTAGTCGCCCAGTCATGTCCGACTCTTTGTGACCCCAGGGACTGCAGCCTGCCAGGCTCCTCTGTCCATGGGGATTCTCCAGGCAAGAAATGGGAAGGGAATTTGGGAGAATGAATACATTAGTCACTCTGCTGACTCTAGTGCACCTGAAACTATCACAACATTATTAATAGGCTTTGCCCCAATACAAAATAAAAAGTTTTTTAAAAAAAGTTAATGCAAATAGAGACAAGGAGGTGAGAGACTTAACAGGAGAGAAATCTGGGCTCTGATTGGGTCCTAAGTCCCCCTCCTCACCTCTCCTGTGAAATATTTGCTTATTTGAAGTAGACAATCACCTGCTTATAAAGGAGCAGGTAAGATGTAGCTTTGGGCATCAAATATTCATCACTTCTGCATGTTGCCCCCTCTCTGCAGGGGCCAAGATAAAAGCAGAGGTCTCCCACCCCATGGCTAGAGGTAGGGGTGTAGGGGTGACTGTAGTTTTGAGGGCCGTGCTAGGAGACACATGTTCTCAACCCCAGGTAAAATGCAAGATATATGACTAGACAAGCTCTGTCTTTTGGGTTATTGAGCTCATGGAATTGATCAGAAGCAAAGAGATCAAAAGCCTGCTATTATCAGAAAGATGTTACTTACCAGAGAAACTACAAGATCCCTCCAAAATAGCTGTAAGCTGCTCAACACCTAGGGCAAACTCTAGGCTTCTAACTCACATGGTCAAGAAGTTGGCTGCCCCCTGGAAAAGGGCTCCTCCCCAGCACACGTGTGTGTCCAAGGAGGACAATCCCCAGGGAGGTCAACCAGAAAGGCTGACTAAGGATCTCAGTCAAGCCTTGGACTCTGAAATGCCCTATTCGTTGGTTAACAGTGCAGTTCCCATGCTCTCAGTTCTCCTTGCTCTCAATTCTCTTTGCTCTTACACTCTTTGTTCACAACACTTGTATTGAGGGAATACTGGGCACAACTGTGCTCCTGTCTGCCTTTGGGCTTCCAGGCCGTGAGAAGCAGTTCAGCAGAAGTGAGCAGATTTTGTTTGTCCTAAGATGCTGGAAGCCAACAGCAAAGAAATGGTGACCCTTCCCCTGCTTCTTTGGGGACAAAGCTGTTCCTCCCATTCTCCTGATAGAATCGTCACACTTGTCATGGGTTGACCAGTTCAGTTTTAGGGGAACGGGGCATTTCTTAAAGGAAGGGGATGGTAAAATGCTTTTTGGAAGGAGCTCCATATGTGTGCACATGTGTGTGTGTGTATGTGTGATAGGAAAGCCTTGAGTGAAAGGATTTGTTCCTTGCTTTGTTCTCATTTGATGAAAGCCATTATGAGGACTTCCCTGGTGATACAGTGGATAAGAATCCACCTGTCAAAATAAGGGACACAGGTTTGATCCCTGGTCCAGGAAGATTTCACATGCCACAGAGCAACTGAGCCTGTGGGCCACAACTACTGAAGCCTGTGCCCCCCAGAGCTCGTGTTCTGCAGCTGCAATGAGAAGCCCGTTCACTGCAATGAAGAGTAGCCCCCACTTACTGCAACTAGGAGAAAGCCCGCAGGCAGCAATGAAGACCCAGTGCAACCAAAATAAATAAATAAATACATTATTTAAGTTTTTAAAAAGCCATTATGACATCAAGACTCTGAGCTCAGCTGAGCTCTATTATCTCTGTGTCAACTTAGGGTCCCAGCCAGAAAGTAGTTTTGATAGATGGGTGATATTCCATCCACCAATGGATGTACCCATTAATGGTATCCATTACTGTACATTATGATTTGATGCATAAAAGGATGATCAAAGATGAAACTGGAAAGGTGAGCAATACATGTTTATCAAAAAATAAACCAAATTTAAAATGACAGACTGGTGGTCTAGTGGTTAAAACTTCGCCTTTCAGTACAGGGGTGTGGGTTTGTTTGATCCCTGGTCAGGGAGTTAAGATACCCCATGTCTCACAGCCATAAAACCAAAACATAAAACAGAAGCAATTTGTAACAAATTAAATAAAAACTTTAAAATAAAAAATAAAAATTTCTACTTTAAAAAAGTACAGAAAATAGAGAGTCTCCATTCCTTTAAAGAAAGAAGAATAAAAATTCCATTTCCTCTAAGAAACAACCATAGTTAGCTATTTGATATGTATCTTTCCAAATATGCCTTTGCAAATATGTGTTTATTAGTTGCTAAAAATAAAAATAATGTTGTCCTATATGTATAGTTTTGTAGCATATGTGTAGAGTATCCTTGCATTTACTAGAGGTAAACAGATATCTTTTGCACCTAATATTATGGACAATTTCCATAGATATAGATGTGTGTTATCTTTTTTACTAACTACTGAAAACTGCATTGGTGGACATCTCATTTGTCTACTGATTTTGTCTTCTGCTGGTTTAAGTGGTTATTTACATTTGTTTGATGTTTGTAAACCATGCTGCAAAGAATATCATTGTGTCTGTATATTCCTTACCTTTGGTTATGTTGCTTCAAAATAGATTCTTAGAAATGGAATCAGTGCAAACAATATTTTGGTCCAATAGTATGGGCATCTTAATGTTTGCTTAATAGTAATGTTGAATTGTACTCTAGAGAGTTTGATCACTACAAATCTAAGCTAATTTGGGTATGAAAATTAGATTATTTTTCAACAAAATGAAATAATTGTGGTTCATAAAAGTTAACATCTGTTTGATTTTCACACAAGTCTTCTGAATTTCTCCTTCTTCTACAAACAGGACTCTATTTCAGGGTACATTTCTTGTAGCTGTAACTATAAAACCGGCAATCTATTAAATAACCGAGCTTTCACGGTAAACCTATAAACAAAATCCTGTTCCACATGTAGGCTGGTTGTTTTTCTCTTCTCTAACATTAGTCATTTGTTCTGTGGAGCATGGATTCTAGGAAAAGAATGTTCAATATATCTGTTACCCTATGCAGATATACAGCACATTTGGAAAAGAGAAGTGAATTCTATTGACTATTTCAGTGGTTCTCAGCTGTTAACATGCATGTGGAATGGTTGATAAGCTTGGTAGACATATCAATTCTCAGGGACATACCTGGAAAATTCTGATGTAAGTGGCTTAAACAATCATTGCTTATGATTTGAATACAGGTGAATTGCATTTGGGGAAATAACCTGGTTAGTGATTAAGAGCAAAGTCTCTAGTTACATCAGAATCTGGCTTCAGAACTCAATGGTGCTGTTTACTTGCTGTGTGATCTTGTCCACGTTGCTTAACCTCTCTGACCCTGCAACCTCAGTTTACTGTTCTGTCAACTGAGAATTAAATAACACTTAAACTATATTATTTTATTGTGAGGATCAAATGAAAAGAGCAGAAAAAACACTCAGCCTGGAGTAAGTCTCATATGTTAGTTGTTGTTATTAATAAAGTTTGATTTATTGTAAATATGTACTACAGACATTCTTCTTAATGGTATCCATTAATGTACATTATCATTTGATACATAAAATACTCACAATTTCAGTGTTCTGCAAATGTGTCTCCAGAGTGTAAACTGAAAAAAAAAAAGCACAATCTAAAAGTTGAGAGTTAAGATTTATTGGTGGACAAAACTGAGCACTTAAGCCAAGAACACAGTATCTCAGATAACCTGGAGAGACTGCTCTGTAGAGGCAAGGTGAAGAGCCAGGATATACATAAAGGAGTTTTTGCAACAAAGACCAGGTAGCTGGGACATCCAAAGGTAACTGCTACTTAAAGAAAACCAGATATCTCAAGTTAAGGAATTCAGTCCTTTTGTATGTATGGGGAGAGGCAAGAGGGTGGGATCACTGAAATCATTCCTTTGATGTACACCTCCACCGTCTGAGTCTCTTCAAGGTGAACTGTTGGGGTGACTGTAGTGGTTGATGGCTAGATGCTGGGCATCCTGTTTCTATCCTGAATTCCCTCAGAGCTCACTGTCAGGGCAGCAGTAATGTGTTGGCTTGATGGCTGCAGCATCCTTCCTTTATTGATATGGCAGTCACCGTTGTTCAATCACAGCTGTCAAACAGAGTAGCTCTATGGTATGTAGCCCCCCTCTTCATCTTTCTCAGCTTCCCTCCATTTCCCATCTTCCTATTCTTTAATTTACTATGTCTTTCAACCAGTGATTCTTTTTTTAAAACTAATTTTTAATTGGAGTATAGTTGACTTACAATGTTGTGTTCGTTTCTGCTGTATAGCAAAGTGAATCAGCCATACATATACACATAGTCACGCTTCCCAGGTGGTGCTAGCCATAAAGAATCTGCCTGTGATGCAGGAGCCACAGAAGATGCAGGTTCGATCCCTGGGTCAGGAAGATTCCCCTGGAGGAGGGCATGGCAACCTACTCCAGTGTTCTTGCCTGGAAAATCCCATGTACAGAGGAGCCTGATGGGTCCATAGGGTTGCAAAGAGTCAGACACAGGTCATTACAGAGCACAAAATAAAAGTTTGCTATGCTCTACAGTAGGATCTTACTAGTTATCTTTTATATATAGTAGTATGCATTTATCAATACCAATCTCCCAATTTATCCCCTACTCCTTTCCCCCTTGGTAATCATGTTTGTTTTCTGTATCTGTGACTCAGTTCATGCTTTGTAAGTAGGTAATATGTACCACAGTTTTTAGATTCCATATATAAATGATATCGTATGATGTTTGTCTTTCAGAGAAAGTCAATCAGTGATTCTGATTTGCCAGAGAAACAAAACCAAACTCGAAGCTAGTTTACTTTCCAAAAGAGCATCTTTATTATTTTGCTGGGCTGAACACGACACTGAAGAGAAACATCAAGTACACACAAGTCAGTCTGGCGGCATTGGCGTCATCTCCGCCTGGAACAAGCTGGCGACCATCCCTCCACTGTCCCCGAAGTGCAAGGGGAGGGGGAGGGGAAGGCCGGGGAAAAGGTATCTCGGGATCTCTGGGAGCAAACAGTCCCAGACCCCAGTGGGGCATTGAAATTAAATTACAAAATTAAATAGTACATATAAATAAGTTGCAATTTCAGTTAAGGACGGGTCCCAGAGTGTGGCTGTTTGACAACAACCAGCGCACAGGAGAGGTAGCTACGGAGACGGCAGGGGTGCCCCCAAGGCTCAGACCCCTGCTGCCCAGTCGGGCCCTTGAGGTCACTGGTTCCTCAAAGCTTCCAGGCCACTCAGAGATTCAGCTCCAGGTCGGTGATGTATTTCTGGACCCAGTCCTCGTTGGGGTCGGCACAGAGCTCCCGGCCTCTTTTGGTTTGGAAGCTGTGGAGAGGAGCAGAAGGGTCACACGCTGCGGAATGCAGCGGGGGGAGATCCTGGGGGCCCCCCACCGCCAATCCCTGTCCCGAGCAGCTCAGCCCTCCCAGACTCTGTCAGCCTGGCCAGGTCAGGTCACTCCTCAGAGACACAGGTGCTCCATATTTGATAAGCCCCGGAGGGCCGGGCCTTCCACAATGGCTCCCTTGGCCTGTCTGTGCCTTTGGGTGCTGACCCCTGCCCCAACCCCAAATCCCCCATCTCCCCAGAGGCAGGCAGGAAGGCTGGCACTTACACGACGCCAGGCTTGGAGCACTGGCCGCTGGTCTCATAATAGTCGGCTACGAATTTGCGAGGAAGCTGCCGGGCGGTGTAGGAGAAGCAGCAGGCCATTGGGGTGTCAGCGCCAACTGTGGAGGGAGGGACAGAATGAGCCTGAGTCACAGCTCAGATGAAAAGGCGAGACCCGTGATCTGTGAGCGGGTGACGAAGACTCGGGGAGGGAGACAGCCTGCCTCAGGGTGCAGACTGGGAGACCGGTCAGTGGGAGGCGCTGGGGGTTTTTGCCTAGAAATTTCCCTGTCTCTGTCCTTTATTTCTGTCTGAACCCCGCTTCCTTTTTGACTCTCACTGTGGGCTCTCTCTTATCATATCTCCCTTCAGGAAATTGTGTTTGGGTCAGGAAATCATTTAGCCTTTGGCTCAGCGGTAAAGAACCTGCCTGCCAATGCAGGAAACACATGAGATGTGAATTCAATCCCTGAGTCAGGAATATCCTCTGGAAAAGGAAATGGCACCCTACTCAGGTATTTTTTTGCCTGGGAAATGCCAGGACAGAGGAGCGTGGTGGGCTACAGCCTATAGGGTCGCAAAAGAATCAGACGCCACTTAACGACTGAACAAGAAGTCACAACCCAGCAAGAGAAAAAAGCTTGGCTGTCTCTCATAAGACATCCAAAGGACAAATTCTTGGGAGGACCTAGGAAGGGTTAGTGGAAAACTCACACCACTGGACAGTAACCAGATTTGGACTCTGCCTCTTACAAACTCATTTGTTTGGGTCTCCGTTTTGCCGTCTGTAAAATGGGACTATAACTCCCTCACCCTGGCTCTAGATCTGAGGTTCCCTTTAAAAAGATTAAACATGTTTCATAACCCTTAAAAAGTTCTCTGTTTTCTCTTGAGGGCTCTCAAGGCCACAAGATTGGCGTGCAGACCCCCTCAGCTACCACCCAGACTCACATGGTGCCGAGAAGACCTGGCTGCAGAGGGCGATGGCGCAGAGGAGAACAGCGAGGACAGCCGCGGGCGCCTTCATGGTGCTGCGAGTCGGAGTGTGGGCTTGAGGTCAGTGGAGCCGAGGGGGGACTCGGTGCTTGCTGCTGCCTCTGTCCTTCTGCAGTGGGAGACCATCTCCCTGGCTCTTTATAAAGGCAGCCCTGGCAGATGGGGAAGTGGAATCTGGGGGTGAGGAGGGAAAATTTTAAGCATAGCGGTGCTTTCATGCAGTGTTGCACAACTCGGGGTCTCCGACAACCACAGGGCCTCAGGATATCCAAGAATAGCTTCTCTCAGCCATAAGTGTCAGCCTGCAACACATGACTTGTTCTGGTTGCATGTGAGGAAATGGTTTCCCCTGTGAGCATCCGGAGAAGGGTATATGTCCACCCAGGGCTATTCCTGTCTGGTCCCTGCCTCTAATGAATTCTCCATCCCAGACCTTCCCACAGAACCGAAAGTGCTGTGATTCTTCAGTTGCTCTAACCACACAAATAGATGGTTAGGTGCGATGTTGCCCTGGAAGGGGGCACAAGCCTCCTTTGGATGGAAGGAACTGAATTAAGGAATTCCCGCCAGAGACCAGGAAGCCTGAGGTCATGTTTCTGTCATTTGTCCATTCATCAAACAGTCACCGTATGACCAGGGCCCCTGGGTTAAACGCTAGTTGAAAATCATAAAGAGAAATTAAATGTGGGTGTTAATATGTCAGGAGCCTAAAAATACTTATGCCTACTAATCTAGAGATCACATTTCTAAGAAAGAGTTCTGAAGAAACAAGCCCAAATACAGAGGTGTCTTCAGAGAGGAAGGGGCTGACCCCAGTGTCACAACTCAAAATAAGGAAATACAAATTTTTCTCTATTAGGGGATGATAAAGTAAGATAGGCTATATTCACTGGAATGTTTCTTTTTAAACCATTAAACTAAAGGAAGTAGCAAAAATATAATCTAACCTCAGTTGTCAAAAAGTAAAATTAAAAAATGTACTAATTGTATTAAATGTACTAACTGTACATTAGTACTAAATGTACACAGAATTATATAAATACATATGTGTACATACACATATATGGTAAATAGTGTAACCAAATATGTGTGTGTGCGGACACACACATATATATGATCTAGGCATGGAAAACATGAAAAGCATTAGAAATAAATGATCAAAGCATCAATAGTACTTATAGTTGTGTGACAGATGAATGGATGATTAATTTTGTTTTCCTCTTTTTCTGGAATTTTCTCATTTTTTTGTAGTAAAAATGTATTACCTTCCTGGTGAGCCCACAGATTTATGGACACATTCTGTCTTAAAGCATTGACAAGACAACCAGTTGGAAAGTAGGTTATTGTTAACTGTTCAACTTGAAAGAATTTTTGGATAAATATACTAAGGTTTCTTTCGAATACCTTTGCTAAAATGAAGTCTTGATTTCCATTTCTCTGAATTATTTTGAGGAACATCGAGCTCATGCTAAGTCACTTCAGCTGTGTCTGACTTTTTGAAGGGGGGGTTCTTTACTATAAGCGCCACTTGGGCAGCCCTTCAGGAAAATAAGTCTGAATTTGGCGTTACTTGAGGACCACAAGTAACGCCAAATTCAGAGCAGTTTTCCTTTCCTATTCTTTTCAACTCATAATTTCAGTGGTGTGAGAGGGTCTACTTTCTCAGCCAGACACATATTTTCTTTTCTGTCCTTTATTGTTTTATTATTATTAGTGGGCATAGGCCACCTCTGGTGGCTCAGACGGCAAAGAATCTGTCTGCAACACGGGAGATGCAGGAGACGCAGGTTCGATTCCTGGGTCGGGAAGATCCCTGGAGCAGAGATGACTGAAACAGCCAAGCACACACGCATACACACAAGAGGGATAACAAGTGGGTACTTACTGTACGAATCACATTTTTATATTGGGAAACAGATTTAGCTCTTTCCAATGATCTTCTGAAAAATGTTACTGATATAGTTGCTTTACAATATCGGGTTAATTTCTACTGTTTGGCGAAGTGACCCAGTTATACATATGCTGTTCTTTAGCTGCTAAGTTCTGTTCCACTCTTTTGTGATCTCGTGGACTATAAGCCACCATGCTCATCTGTCCATGGAAATTCCCAGGCAAGAATACTAGAGTGGGTTGCCATTTTCTTCTCTAGGGGATCTTTCTGACCCAAGGATCAGACCCGTGTCTCCTGCTTGGTAGGCAAATTCTTTACCACTGAGCCACCTGGTAAGCCCCACTGATACAGACATATATATCATTGTTGTTTAGTCACTCAGTTATGTCCAACTCTTTGCAACCCCATAGACTGCAGCATGGCAGTCTACCCTGTCCTTCACCATCTCCCAGAACTTGCTCAGACTCGTGTTCATTGAGTTGGTGATGCCATCCAACCATCTTGTTCCCTGTCATCCTCTTCTTCTACCTTCAATCATTCCTAGCATCAGGGTCTTTTCTTTTCTTTTTATAATTTTTTAATTTTTTTTTTTTAGGGTCTTTTCCAATCAATCAGTTCTTCACATCAGGTGGCCAAACTATTGGAGCTTCAGCCTCAGCATCAGTCCCTCCAATGAATATTCAGGACTGATTTCCATTAGAATTGACTAGTTTGATCTCCTTGCAGTCCAAGGGACTCTCAAGAGTCTTCTCCAACACCACAGTTGAAAAGCATCAGTTCTTCAGTGCTCAGCCTTCTTTATGGTCCAACTCTCAAATCTGTACATGACCACTGGAAAAACCATAGCTTTGACTATACAGACCTTTGTCAGCAAAGTAATGTCTCTGCTTTTTAAGATGCTATCTAAGTCTGTGATAGCTTTTCTTCCAAGGAGCAAGCATCTTTTAATTTCATGGCTGTAGTCACCATCCGAAGTGATTTTGGAGCCCCCCCCTCCAAAAAATAAAGTCTGTCACTATTTCCATTGTTTCCCCTTCTATTTGCCATGAAGCCATGATCTTAGTTTTTTGAATGCTGAGTTTTAAGCCAGATTTTTCACTCTCCTCTTCCACTTGCATTAAGGGGCTCTTTAGTTCTTCTTCGCTTTCTGCCACAAAGGTGGTGTCATCTGCATATCCAAGGTTATTGATATTTCTCCCAGCAATCTTGATTCCAGCTTGTGCTTCATCCAGCCCAGCATTTCACCTGATGTACTTTGCATCTAAGTTAAATAAGCAGGGGGACAATATATAGACTTGACATACTTCTTTCTCAATTTGGAACCAGTCCATTGTTCCATGTCTTGTTCTAACTCTTGCTTCTTGACCAGCATACAGGTTTCTCAGGAGACCAGTAAGGTGGTCTGCTATTCCCATCTTTAACAATTTTCCAGTTTGCTGTGATCCACACAGTCAAAGGCTTTATCATAGTCAATGAAGCAGAAGTAGTTTTTCTGGAATTCTCTTGCTTTTTCTATGATCCAACAGATGTTGGCAATTTGATCTCTGGTTCCTCTGCCTTTTCTAAATCCAGCTTGAACATCTGGAAGTTCTCAGTTCATGTACTGTTGAAGCCTAGCTTAGAGAATTTTAAGCATTACTTTACCAGTGTGTGAGATGTGTGCAATTGTGCAATAGTTTGAACATTTTTTGGCATTGCCTTTCCTTGGCATTGGAATGAAAACTGATCTTTTCCAGTCCTGTGTCCACTGCTAAGGTTTCCAAATTTGCTGACATATTGAGTGCAGCACTTTAACAGCATCATCTTTTGGTATTTGAAACAGCTCAGCTGAAATTTCATCACCTCCACTAGCTTTATTCGTAGTGATGTTTACTAAGGCCCACTTGACTTCAAATTCCAGGATGGCTGGCTCTAGGTGAATGATCACACCATCATGATTATCTGGGTCATGAAGATCTTTTTTGTATAGTTCTTCTATGTATTCTTGCCACCTCTTCTTAATATCTTCTGCTTCTGTTAGGTTCATGCCGTTTCTGTCCTATATTGTGCCCATCTTTGCATGAAATATTCCCTTGGTATCTCTAATTTTCCTGAAGAGGTTTCTAGTCTTTCCCATTCTATTTTTCTCCTCTATTTCTTTGCACTGATCACTGAGGAAGGCTTTCTTATCTCTCCTTGCTATTCTTTGTAACTCTCCATTCAGATGGGTGTATCTTTTCTTTTCTCCTTTGCCTTTCACTTCTCTTCTTTTCTCAACTATTTTTAATGCCTCCTCTGACAACCATTTTGCCTTTTTGCATTTCTTTTTCTGGGCGGTGTTTTTGATCACCAACTCCTATAGAGTGTTATGAACCTCTGTCCATAGCTCTTCAGGCACTCTATCAAATCTAATCCCTTGAATCTATTTGTTACTTCCACTGTATAACCATAAGGAATTTGATTTAGGTCATACCTGAATGGGCTAAAGGTTTTCCCTACTTTCTTCAATTTAAGTCTGAATTTTGCAACAAGTTCATGATCTGAGCAATAGTCAGCTCCTGATCTTGTTTTTGTTGACTATATATACAAATATATATATGCATATATAGCATATATACTATATATATATGTGTTCTTTTAAATTATGGTTTATATTTTCTAACAATCTTTATCCTCTAGATGCTCCCAGTCTAATAGGAGCAGGTAGAGTATAAACAGGCAACCATAGCACTTAGCAGAAAGTGCTAAAATTCTTAGGAGATAAATAGGAGAAAGCTCAGAACAAGAGGAGGAGGGAGTCAGGCTTTCTTGAGAGGATAGGGAAAGCTGTCACAGAAGGGATAGAATTATTGGGTCTTGAAAGTGACACAGGATTTGAACATATATAGACAGTGTGGCAATAGATGACTTGATCAGCTGATGCAGAGTCACAGGTGTGAAATTGCTGGGTCAGAGAGAGAAGTGTGTTGTTCTGACTCAGCTGCAGGATGGAGGAGCAAATTTGAGCAAAGAAGTTAAATTCGGGCCAGTCCAAGAGGGCTTTGAATTCTCCCAAAGGAGCTAGAATAATGGAGGAAATAAGACATAAACCAAGTGAAACCACACGTTAGGAATTCTGTCCTTCCTATGTCTGCACAGGTACTTCCCTTAAAACACACGAG